CCGTATTTTATTATAAACATGTCATTTAACTGCTAAAAGGAAGTGGGAGTTTTAAAATTTTGTTTTAACCTTTTAATCCATCTATACTTTCACTTTCTAATAAGTTTGCACTAAATGTCAATGATTAAAAATTTTCATTTCATTAGAATTTGTGGGAAAAAAAGTAAAATACCAATTTTCCCTCTGGGTCCTGTATCTGATTCAAAGCAATCTGGGTAATCACTTGACTGACTGTGATGATAATTCATCTGATTCCTCAGGTGTATGTAAATGGACACAATATTGAATCTACTGGGCTTTAGGAACTGATTCACTTATATTTACCAGTGAGTATGAATTTGCAAGATTAAGACGTTTGAATTCTCTGTTTAAAATAAGTTGTAGTGCTTTTCTTTGTAGAGTAAGTCTGGACAAATTGTATGTCTCAAGAATTAAATTCCATGTTTGGTATCATCACTACATTGAAGCAGCACACACACATACACACACATGCAAGCATGCACAGGCTGTAATATCCCTATAGAACAATACAAATAAATGCATATAAATGTAGGAGAAATGTAAGATAAGCTAAAGATCATTAACAAGTGAACAAACAAGTGAAGCTCCCGTCTGGAAAATTGCCTTATTTCCTTTTTAGTTCTTTGCTTATGAGCCGAGAAAGGAAGTTAGCCTATACAAACACAATTGTCTGGGTAATTCCTAAGTTAATAAACGCATCATGTTCTGGCCCATATCAGGCCTTTTAAACTACCACTGCTTAGCCAGTGATCCTTTTGGCTCTGCTGCTTGTCTGACTGACCGTGCATCTTCAGAGCTGGGCTTCTGAATGTTCACTCCGCCACCAGCTCCCTGTTAGTCCCCACCGCACACACTCACACGCATGGGTTCCCCCTCAGCGGGGCAATCCTTCTGCTCAGTCTCTGTCTCTGCTCCAACACAGTGTGATTAAGACCCTGGTCTTGTTTTCCAGTACAGTTGCTAGCTAATAGAAAACAGGCATGAAACTATTTGATAAGTATGAATTTTTAAAAAAGAGTATGTACTTATAAAAAGATATATACTTATCATGGCTGTTAAGAGCACAAGTGGGAAAATAAGAGATCTAGGATTATGACCTATTGTACACCTGTGATCTTGGTCAAGTTATTTAGTACCCATTATTCATTTCCTTTTCAGGGAAATGGATGTAGGCAGGATCTACCTCGTGACATTTTTTTATTCTAAGTGAGTTGATACTGATATAGCACCTAAGACAGTGTCTGGCACACAGTCTGAAAAACTGTGATTAATGTTATTATTATTATAACATCCGGGGTTTTTGTTTTGTTTTGGTACCGGGGATTGAACTTACAACTGCGCACTTGCAAGGTAGGCATTTACACCGCTGAGCTAAATTCCCGGCCCTGTGTTCCTGCTCTTAGAGCCTCTTTTGTTCCCTCCGCCTCCAGTTTTACATTCTTTCATGTGTGTGCATACACAGAAGTAAAGGCAGATTTTAAAAGCTGTGATTATTTGATGGTTCCATTTTTTTGCAAAGTTTCTATGAGCCCTTCAGGAGGCAAACTGTTTTCAGAGAGAAGATACTGAGACATGGTTCCAAGTCTAGATGGAAAATGTCTGCCTCAAGGGAGAGTGCTTGAAAGGACTGGTTATGGGGTTCACTATTTACAAATGGAAATAACTTTGCAGACACATTACATTTAATTCTGTGTTAGAGTCCCTGCATTATGTTAAGAATCAGAAGACGCTTGCAGTCTATGAAATGTAGAGAAAAGTATATTGAAATGGGAATCAGGGAATTGGATTTCCTGAGGATGCCTCAGAGAAGTCGCAGTGAACCTGAGCCTCATTGATGGAAGAAATAAAGAAAGCTGCTTTTAATGAACTGAAGTCTAAAGATTCAGTGCTCTTGGGGCTGGGGGTTTAGCTCAACGGCATAAGCACCTGCCTTGCAAGCAGGCGGTCGTGAGTTCGATCCCCGGTACCGATAAAAACGAAAAAGACAAAAAAAAAAAAAAAAAAAAAAGATTCAGTGCTCTCTTCTGAGGTAGGAAAAAACACGCTCATTTCAAGACAAAACGATTGCAGAACATCACAAATATTGTGAATAAAGATGACCATGGAGTAAAACATTGGTGAGACTGGATGAGAAGAATCGCGACAGATTTCTGGGATTTTGTTGTTTGTTTTTCATTGTCTGTCGTTGTTTACCAAATCTTGAGAGCATAAAGAATGTGAGTTGGTGAACAAAATAAAGTACTCATTGACTTTTTCCCCTATTCCTGTCATCTAGGAAAATAGATCAGAAAATAATATGAGTGCTACTCTGGTCTTAAAAATGCTTTTAAATTCAGTAGTTTGAGCCTGTATTTTAAAGAAACAAATGGGCCTGGACTGGAGGAGGAAACTAGGAAAGAGTTTCTGTAGGTACAGCAGACGGTATGCCTCAGAGACATCATTCCACCCAGAAACCGGGCAAGAGAAGATAATTCAGTTGCCCAAACTCCAAATCAATGTCTGCAGTCTTCTTTAGAAAATGGTCCAGAAGTGAGGAGAAAACCTTACCATATTACCTCACGGTTAATGTGAGGTTTTGAAAAATCTGCATTACAGCCCTCAGAGATTCTTGAACAAGAGCAAGAACAGTATGCATATGTGGAAAAGAAGTTCAGATTTTTAACTGAATTTTTATCTAGAAATTAAATTGTTGCTGTGTGTGGTAGTTCACATCTGTAACCCCAGGACTTGGGAGGCTGAGGTGGAAGGATCACCAATTTCAAGGCAAATCTGAACTACTCTATGAGACTCCGTCTCAAAAAAAAAAGATTATTCTAATTCAAGGATATGATAATAAAGAATGCAGTTTTATACTTAAGGCCATTTATATTTGGAGTACACTGAATTTGTGGCTCATTTGAGACACTGTATATCTGTTTCTTAATTCTTGGGAGCCAATTCATTATTTATGTTGCCCTAAAAAATTGGTAAGCTTTTATAGGTTTGCTAAAATCTTACTGTTCTTTGAATTTTACATTTATATATTGCCCAATAGCAACCATTATATTTGGAAAAAATAGCCCTGTTATTGTTGCTGTAATAGTACCAATTGAACAAGAAGCATAAATATTGTAGAACGTGAAGGTGAAGTAGGAATCGAGCATTGAGTGATCAGTGCTAACCAAGTCCTAAGTGTCTCCATGTGCCCTGGAAACAGACGCTTGCCAAGGGTCACACAGAGGAGAAAACACAGAGTGGTGAGATGGCACATTTCCAGCTCCTTCATGCAGCGTTAGCTGTCACAGCAGGTTGGGTATATTAGGCAATTATACGTTTGAATTTCTTAGAATATCAGATTTTTATAGGTAGAAATGCACAGCTTATTGGTAAATAAGAATGAACAAAAATGATAATCAAAATAATACCCTACTAGTGGACATCGCAGGCCATTCCAAGAAACAAAACTGAATAAAGGAAAGTGTGCGTTTTTGTATATTCACAGATTTAAACTCTGAACTATTAAGAAATACAATTTGTAGCTTTTGAAAAAGTTAAACTCTCAGGGGCTTTTTATAATATGTACTTTCTACTGCATGGCTTTCTGTATGAAGGTTTCTCTACGTGAGGACAAAGTCCAACCTTGTGTTAATAGCGTTCTCTCTCTCTTTCTCTCTCTCTCTCTCTTTCATTTTGTTTTCTGCTATGTACCTCTAGTTACCTTAAACTCAGTATGTAGTCCAGGCTAGCCTCAACCTCACAGTGATCTTCCTGCATCAGCCTCCCAAACACTGGTATTATAGGCATGCGCTACCACCCATGCTTCAGTCTTCTGTTTATCAATACATTCTGAGTTGTCCAGATTAAGTGTTTTGTCCAGAAATAAATATTCTTATCTGAATGTTAGACCTCTTTTTACAAAGACAAGTGTCTGATACCACCAGAGTATTAACTATTTAAAGGTAAATTATTATGATCACTGAGTGGTAATAATTCAATTAATATAGTACAGAAAGTAATAAATTTAAAATATTTTGAGACAAAGTAGCTTCTGTAATTAGAATTTTCATGATGTATTCTAAGATAAATCTTTCTAAATATATAAACATATACACATGTATATATACATATATGCATATATATACATATGTATACACACACACACATATATACACACACAAAAGAAACAGTATGTGATGTTATAATAGCAAGAATTGAAATACCAATTCAAGACTTACGGATGGATGAGATTAATAGAAAGGAAACATACAGAAGCAGAACAGGTGAGAGGGTGGGAAGGACAGTCAAACAAGCAGTTTGTTATGCAGAAAGACTCTGGGTGAAGTTCTCATCAGCTCCTCTGAGGATGCATTTATTGTTTCACTTGTGGGTTGGAGAGCGCCTGCTGGCTCTGCCCTCCAGCCTTGCCTTTCTAAGAGCACACTGACCTGACCCATTACTTCATATCGGGCCCTCATTCTTGGAATGCTCTGACGGATAATCATGTTTGGAATCCCAGTAGCACAGTACAGCACACCCTTATTTCCTGTGTGCCTGTGTTTGCTGGATTCCAATAGACAAGGTTATTATTTCAAAGACATCATGTTTCCTGGGTTAGGTGACGATGACTTCTGCTAGGATGCTGTTCCCTCTGAACTAGGATGTATGTATTCCACCTACAGAATGAAGCCTAAAGATAGCTTGCTTTGCTGCACGTCTGTAACCTGTGGTCTTTTTTCACATCACACTGACTGAAACATTAGTAGCAGCTACTCACAGTAGGAGGCTGAGAATTCCAGTGAACAGTTTTCTGTGTCCAAAGCCTGATCTAAAGTCTATCATTATTTGAATGCTTTGTTTTTCCTTCCGAGTCTTCTTCTGAAGGGAGAATTCAAGGAAATGAGAAGGCTCAGAAGCACTTAGAGGTTAGGAGAACATCATGATGTTAACAACCCATGCTTCTGCCCCTACCACAGTTCTTACTTACTTCACTGTGTTTCCAGATGACCAAGAATGGCACAGTGGAATCAGAGGAAGCCAGCACTCTCACGGTGGATGACATTTCTGATGATGATATTGACTTAGACAACACAGAAGTCGATGAGTATTTCTTTCTACAACCCTTGCCAACAAAAAAGCGAAGAGCGCTCCTGCGGGCCTCTGGAGTTAAGAAGATCGACGTGGAAGAGAAGCACGAGCTGCGCGCCATCCGCCTGTCACGGGAGGACTGTGGCTGTGACTGCAGAGTGTTCTGTGATCCAGAAACGTGCACCTGCAGCCTGGCGGGCATTAAGTGTCAGGTAAAGGTTCGGAAGTGAGGCCGTCCAAAGACGGAATGCTGTGTACCCCCTGAAGTTAGCTGTATACAATAATGAGTTCCCCAAATGCAGGAGTCTTTGAGGTGAGGCAGTTCAGGGGGAGAAAACTCCTACTAACTCCAGCATTCACAGAGTGCTCACACACAGCAGCTGAGGGAGGTGAAGTACTTTGTCTTGTATTCACTTGTCATACCAGCTTAGTTTGGCTTTTTACACATATTCAGACAGACTTTGGCATCCCTAACGTTTGAATTTGTGTTTTCTGATTGTTCCATAATGCATAAAACAATGATTAACTAGAAGTAGTGTGGGCTAGTAATAAAATTGCTGAAGGAGAACCATTTAAAAAAATAAAATAAAATAAACTACACTCCTTTGTTTGCTATTTGCTAAGTATGTATGAACTTGACCAATCAGGTAAAACCCCTGAGATCAGTTTCTTTATCTTGAAAATCAGGTCAAGATTGACAAACTATCAACTCACAGACCAAACCCAGTCACATGTTTGTGTAAGCCAAGTTTATTTGAACACTTACATTTTATTTTGTTTATTTATCTATGACTAATTTTATGTTTCTAGGGCAGAGCTGAGTAGTAACAGAGTCTGTATAATCCACAAAACCTAAATATTTACTCTTGTCTTTGCAAAACCAAAACAAAACTGTATGTGCTATCTGCAGTTACTTCTTGTTACTAAGGTTTCCTTAACAAGAAAAAAGTGTCCTCAAGTTTTCCGTCTCTCTGATTGTGGCAGTAATGGTTGATTAGGAGAATACAGGAGGGAAACAGAATTTTTTGCAATTTGGGAACAGTCTTGTAAACAGTGAAAAGCCCATTTTTCTCCAAATAGAATCTAATACTTGAATTTATGTGAGAACTGTTAGAAAATAGCCCTACCACTCTTATTCCATTCATTACTAAAACTAATTAAAAGAAAATAAAAGTGTGCTAATGCTTGTACTAGATGATTCTGTATTCTATTTATCTATAATATATCATTGATATTTTCTGAATAGTTGGGTACTGTTATTTTATGCAGAAATAGCTTTTTCTTTTCCTTTTTTTTTTTTTTTTTTTTTTTTTTTTTTGTCTTTTTCTTTTTTATCGGTACCAGGAATCAAACTCACTACCGCACACTTGCAAGACAGGCGCTTATGCCGCTGAGCTAAATCTCTAGCCCCTAGAAATAGCTTTTTCAATAGAAAGAATCATTCAGGCAGGTGAAAGAAGAGGATTGTTCCCATCAGCCAAGCAGTTGCTTAAGTTAGATTCACAAGAAAGAGACACAGATGCTATCGCCAACATCTAGTACTACCTTCATTGGGATCAGTATAACTGTATTAGAATTGGCCTTCTCTTCTACGGCACAGCAGTCTCTCTGAGCTTGAATAAGGTGGCAAGCATGGCAAGTTTTCCGTGTTGCCTGTACCCTGATCTGTGTCCAGGTTGATCTGTGGAATCTGAGCAAATATGGGTACCTATGGATTGCATAGAATTCCACTTAATCATTTTAGGTCTGTCCAACAACACTCTTTTTGAATACTATTTCTCTATCTTCATAGCTCAAAGCCTCAAGTAGTTCTGAGATATGAATGAGATGAACATTCTCTTCTTCCCAAAAGCTTGTAGTTTAATGAAATGGGTGGAGAAAGGGGAGAGCCAGGACCTAAATATATGAGTCCATAAGTCACAGTCATAAATGTGCATATCTGCTGCAGCCCTACAGGACACATTCATGTACCCACAAACCATGGGCCACATATTGACAAGGTAAAGCAGTGACAGTGGATTGTTAGGGTGCATGATACCAAGGGGTGTCAGTGTGGATATCTTAGGCAGTGAAGTTCATTTTCTAATAAGCAAATGGAAAAAGCATAATTCTTATCAATAGCATAAACTAGATTTAAAGTGCGTGTAAGAAGAAATACAGCAAATTGTTTGTATAAAATTGGGCAAGTAAGCTACAATGAAGCAGAAGTTTGAGGAAAAGACAGAAGCACTGAAAACATGTGAATATCCAAGAGAAAGAAAGAGTAGGTAAGGGAAAACAGAAGCGAAGAAAATACTTGAAAAATAAAACTATCACTCTGAAAAATAAAACTATCACCCTAAACCCACTTTTATTTTGAATATGGGTTTAAAAGCTAATTAACTCTTACGATTTAAGCCTTCACTCCCCCCTTTTCACTTCTATTTGAGCTTGATTGTCATTGGCTCTGACCTAAGTGGAATAAGTAGATTATTTAAGTCAAAGGAGTTGCTGAAAAGTGCTGGATTTTTTTTGGTTTGTAATGGTTCCATGGTGCTAATCTGTGTTCTTCCTCCCCAGGTGGATCGTATGTCTTTCCCCTGTGGCTGCACTAAAGAAGGGTGTAGCAACACAGCAGGTAGAATTGAATTTAATCCTATCCGTGTCCGGACTCACTTTTTGCACACAATAATGAAGCTTGAACTCGAGAAAAACCGAGAGCAGCAAATCCCCACACTGAACGGCTGCCACGGGGAGATAAGCGCACACAGTAGCTCCATGGGCCCTGTCGCTCACTCTGTAGAATATTCTATTGCAGACAATTTCGAGATTGAAACGGAACCCCAAGCTGCAGTGCTGCACCTGCAGTCTGCCGAAGAATTGGATTGCCAAGGAGAGGAGGATGAAGAGGAGGAGGAGGATGGGAGCAGCTTTTGCAGCGGAGTCACTGATTCTAGCACACAAAGCTTGGCCCCGAGTGAGTCAGATGAGGAGGAGGAGGAGGAAGAGGAGGAGGAGGAAGAAGAGGATGAGGAGGATAAAAGAGATGGCTTTGTGGAAGGTTTGGGCACCCATGCTGATGTGGTACCTCTTCCCTCGGTCCTGTGTTATTCAGATGGCACAGCTATTCACGAAAGCCACACAAAAAATGCTTCTTTTTATGCCAACTCTTCAACTCTCTACTACCAAATAGATAGCCACATTCCAGGAACACCTAGCCAGATCTCTGAGAACTATTCTGAAAGAGATACTGTCAAGAACGGTACCCTTTCGTTGGTGCCTTACACCATGACCCCAGAGCAATTCGTTGACTATGCCCGACAAGCAGAAGAGGCCTACAGTGCCTCCCATTATGCAGCTGCCAACCCCTCTGTGATTGTTTGTTGCTCCTCTTCCGAAAATGATAGTGGGGTGCCCTGCAATAGTTTATATCCCGAACACAGGTCCAGTCATCCTCAAGTGGAATTTCACTCATACTTGAAAGGCCCTTCCCAGGATGGGTTTGTCTCCACATTGAATGGAGACAGTCACATTTCAGAGCATCCTGCTGAAAATGCTTTGAGCCTTGCAGAAAAGAGCAGACTGCACGAAGAATGCATCAAATCACCTGTGGTTGAGACTGTTCCCGTTTAGTAGCTTCAGTTATTCTATTATAGGACCAACACTTCTATGTGAGGCACTTCATTTAACTGGATTTCCCGGGCTCATCATTGTTTAAACTGAAGACCGAAAAAATTTGGACTGTGATTAATCTTCCAGACTGTATTTTGTTTTCTCCTTTTTAGCTACATGACTGTGGCACTGCACAAATACAGTCACTATGGGGATTTTAAACGATTTCAGACTGTTTTGATAGAAAATGCTAAATTTTAAAAATGCATATCTCACAGTTGCCTACCTGTCAAACTGTGTGAAATCTGTCAAGCTGTGCAGATCAGAGCTCCAAGTTTTGGATTATCGGGCCTGTGCAAGATTGTTAACTAAGACTGCAAAATAATAAGCTTTAGAGTCCTAATTTTCGATATATCTGAAGATGATGGTGACTTTTTAATGTAAAAGTAATTATTGTAAGAAAAAGATTTAATTGTTTCATGTGTATTTTATTTATGGTAGCTTAGAAGTCATGTTTTGATGAAAATGAACAGCAGCATGTTCATTCAAGCTGAAGATGCAGAGCTAGCACCACAGAGCATGCCCACACGGATTGCATCTGGAATCCACTCACGTTTTTATGATCCTGACTGTTCAGGTTTGCAAATACTTTCTTAAGGGTGAAATAGGCCTATTTTTGCTATTTTGGACAAATAAATGAGTCTATATGTGCAGGTCCTTACCCAGTTTTCTCTAAAGTTAAGAGTTAGGACAATCCTCCAGGGAGGGCTCAGTTGGCTGCCCTCCCTCAGCTGACTCCCAAGGTGGAGGTACAAGGAATTGCCTTTCTTTTCTAACTAGCATCATCTTGGTTCTTAGCTTGGACAGCACCTTTAAACTCTACCCCTTACATCAAAATGCACTTTAGTGCCCCTTCACGGTACCTCGTGTGGGGTGGGGACTGAGAACTCTTTGAGATGAAAAAATTTAAAAATAAAAAAAAAAATCTGAAACTATTCTAAGGTTCATACATAGTTAACATAGAGGAATCTTCCAGTGACACTTGTGAAGGAAAAATGACTTGTTTTCCTTCACCACTCTGAGGACCTAACTCGGTAAACGCAAGAAATCTGAGGCAACATGGAAGAGACATTCTCAGCAAGCAGCCTTTTCTGCAACGTGCTCGGTCCGTCTCTACAAATAAATGTATAATGCGATTTCCACTTAGTGACTAGCTGATTGAAGTGGAGGGCCTCTACCCAAATACTCAACTAGGCCTTACTTTTCCGAAGCATTTTGATTTGTCTTGTCTGGGACAATTAGCAGAACAGTCCAGAATGCATTGCATACTTAATTACCTCATGTTCTCTTATTAAAGAGAACAGATAGAAATAAAACATGCACTCCCCACCATTAGATTACCTACACTTGGTTTACTAGAGGACTTCTAAGAACCTTTTTTTCTGTAAATTAATTTAGGTAACAAAATAGTGTGTTCTATTTTCCCCCTCATCCAATGCAATATGACTATGCTAAATCTGTTTCACATTTCTGACCTTCTATTGTTATATCGTTTCACATGTTTTATGACTATTTGAAACATGGACATGCCTTGCTAGTGAGTGACTGTATCGCTACTTATTTTTATGCCATTTAGACTTGGGTATTTAGAAATACAAATATAAATATATTGTAGCTCTCAGTACCTTAAAAGTACTATTTTATTTGATTAAATTTTTAAAAATATATTTGAGTTGGAGAAAGTCCTCCAGTGGAAAGATTTCTGCTAGAACTTGATGTGGAGAAAACATGCTTAGCTGGCAGCTCTGCCATGCTACAGTTGGTTTTTGCCACTTTTCTGCCCATCTCTGGGCCAGGTTTGCAACCATTAATATTCACATTGAAGAAGCTTTGGATTTGTTATGATGTAGGCAGCGGTAATTAGGTCAGGAATGTTCCATTTTGATGATTAGCCAGGGCATCGTCACAGTTACAGTTTTTAGTGCTTGGTCTCTAGGGTTGTTTTGTTTTGTTTTGTTTTTTCTCCTCTCTCTTACCAATACAATATAAAGAGCACAGGCACAAGAGAAAATGATGACAGGTAACTGGCCTTTCACCCAAGCATATGAAAAAAATCACGTGTTCCACATTTGCTGGATCATTACAGGCTCTGAAAGAACCTACATATGAAGAACTCTGAGGTTATTCATGGACCACAGAGTGTGGGAGACTGAGCCTACTGGCTAGAGCAGAGTTGAAAGGTAGAAGGGCAGTCCAGTTCTGGACAAATACACATTTTTAGTTCAGTTTTTTTCCTCAAGGAGGTGACTTTTTTATGTCTTACTATGTCTCTGTTTTGTATGTTTGTTTACAAAACAATACTGACAGAAACAACTGTGTTGCCTCTGTCTGTCTAATTGGGTTACAAAGTCACCACCTTACTAAGTATTTGCCATTCAACCATAACAACTTCTGTTTCAAATTTTCATAGACCTAGGTAAACATTCACCATCTCCTGCAAATAATATATGCAGGATGCTCCTGAAGAAATCCCTCCAGTACAACTGCTCCTAAACCACACACGCACGCATAGACACACTACAAGAATACCACACACTTGAGAATGACAGATTTTAGGCAATGTCCAGTAATGAGTACTGAGATTTCCTACCATAAAATTTGGTCTGATTTTATGATCTAAAAATATGGTCTAGAAAGGAGGATAATTTTTAAGACTGCAGTTTGAAAATATTGGGTCAATGCAACAAATAATAGTAGTAATGGAATCATTTCACTGTTACTTCCTTTCCTAGAAAAGCTGGGAGACCACAGTGTTCCATCTGAAATTTCCCAATAATAGCCTTCTATTCAACAAAAATTGCCCACATACCAGGAAAGTGCTACAGTTATTCTAAACTTGTAAAAGGGAGAAGCAAGCTAGATGCAGCCTGTTGGAATACTTAAGATCTTTGTACCAAGACACAATAACCTGGCCTGCAGCTGTTATATCAACCTCATTGTATATCTAACCAAATTAGTTTTTTTAGAAACGCAGCTTTTTAGCCATTCATTGTCAACTGCAAAGCTTCACACTCCAGACCCTGTTGTTTTAGCACCAGCCCTATACCTTGAAATGGGGGTTAATTCCTGGTTATAATGCCGGCCAAACTGATTTGCAAGTCAAGTGAATAGCGCAGCTTGCATCTCCTTTGTCACTCTTGATCTCTCTTGGGGGAAAGAAATCACAGAAAGAATTTAAGTTTTTCTTCCTATCTTTTGAACGTCGATTACTATGTGATAGATAAAATCTTATTTGTTGCATGTCTTTTGGTTGATTCAACAATATGCGTAGTTATTTTTTGAAGGCCTATCTTTTTTTTGTGGTGAAATTCCGTATCTCCCCAGGTATCAGTCACAAATATTTCTTTAGATGATAAAAATCTTCTCAATCTTTTTTTTTTGTACCAGGAATCAAACTCACAACCTCACTTTTGCCAAGGAGGCAGTTTTGTCACTGATCTAAATTCCCAGCCCCTCTTCTCAGTCTCATGTGCCGCACAATATCCATCCCCACATGCTCCACCAAAAAAAAAAGAAAAAACCAATAAGTTGTAGAAACAGATAAATCAAGATACAAATTACATTAAGTGATTGTTTTCTTTAAAATTTTACACTCTAATGAGTGATTACTAAGCAAAAATTTCAAGTTTTCATTAAACAGAAAAATGTTATAATTTATAGCCTAATAATTGTTACATTACTGGCTCTTTAATATTTGATATTGTTATTCAAATCTATAATCCTTTGGTCTCAATATTCAGAATTTATTAATCCCTTATTTTTTCAACAAACATTTATTAAACACCTACTATGTTAGAACAACTATTCTGCGTAATTAAAAACCGTAAGGGGAAACTACAAATTCTAAAGAATCATGATAAAAAGGGATGGCAAGAAATAAGCCTATTCAAATCTTTTAAATATTTGATTTTATAATATGAAGTTAGAAAATTGACAAAAATTCTTGTCCAGTTATATGTAAACTGTAACTGCTTCTTTTTCATACTGAATGGAACTCACTGGATCCCTTCTCTCATCTGAAATTAATTAATTAAATATGGGGTCAGCCAGAAGTGAACCGAGTAAAAGATTTTCAGCTAATTGTTTCTTCAGTATGAATCCATGTAATGATGCCAAATCTATACCAGTAAACTCCCATTAGATAGTTTCAGAGTGTGGTTGACGCAAGCACAACCCAGGACAGATTTCTGGAAACTTTTGAAACAAAGACACAATAAACTGTCACTCTTACTTACGTTTATAAACAGGCTATCAAAATAGCAAAATCCAATTCCAGCTTCCAGAGGAATCAGCTGGAAGCAGAGAGGAAGCAAAAGAGTTCCCTGGGGGCTGGGGGCTTAGCTCAGCGGCATAAGCGCCTGCCTTGCAATCAGGCAGTCATGAGTTCGATCCCCGGTACCGATAAAAAGGAAAAAGACAAGAAAAAAAAAAAAAAAAAGTTCCCGGGATCTCCCTCGATTTGAGCTTGGAATTATGATTCATCCAATAAGCAGTAGAAAACTGATCTCAACAGGAAACTACCTTTTTCAAAAGATATCAAACTCCTCTTTCTATAAATATAACAATGATAATGTAACATTAAAGTGGACCCTTAGTCTCTCAAAACAGCGTACGTTGTCCTTAAAATCAGTCTACAAAATACCCAGTTTAAATGGGACACATCTTTCTGCTCAAAATCAAGACGACTCTGATTTGAAATCAGAACTTTCTGTTGTATCCATACCAAAAGTTTAAAGCCTTGAACATTCTTGGTGCTAGTACACATGTGCAACTTCTGACTGCATCCCTTTCTGAGATCTGCTAACTTGTGCTGATGTAAATCCCTAAGCCAAATGGCACAGCTCTGCACAGACAACACAGTTTATCAGATATTTTCTGTAGCATTAAAGAATTTAATTGACTTAATTGACTGAACACTAGCAATTTGAAAACTCACTGAAATTATAAACTGTCAGAATGGGTGTGAGGATGGAACACAAGAACAGTAAGTGGTGGTATCTCCAAGGAGCTACAAAAAAATTTCAGCAGGGGCTGGGGAGTTAGCTCAGCGGCATAAGTACCTGCCTTGCAAGCAGGCAGTCGTGAGTTCGATCCCTGGTACCGAAAAAGACAAAAAAAATTTCAGCAGAATGGGCAACGTTTTATAAGACTAGGAAGCTCAGAGAGCAGGCAGTCTGAAGCCAAGAAGGAACAGCCCAGCTGTCCTCAACTCATTTGGGGCTTATGTCAGTGGACTAACACCCACTTCAATTGCATTTACTATCTACAAGTCATTGGATCCTTTAGAAAATAAAAATACAGATCTACACCATTCTAAAGAAAACTAGAAAGAAATTTAAGCACAATTTACATTAAAATGACTAATAAATGACTCGCGTTATTGTCAAAAATAAGGAATTGAGAAATAAAAGTTTTTCGATACTTTGCCAGCCAAAACTATATGCTCAATGTAACTCAAAAACAGTCACTTCTAATCTTTACTTTCACTCTTCTTACGGCTTTCAAGAGAGGCCAGTTTCCTAAACAAGTTGTTTTATTATTTTTTCTTTCTTTTTAATCAAAGTTCAAAGCCAGTGTCTTCAAAGTGCCTGGGTTTGCCTGAAGCCTGGTCCTGAGCTAGTCTAGTATTACTCCCTGGCCCGTCTCGGGCTTCTGAGGGCAGGTTGGAGAGTGTGATGGGAACTAGTACTCACAACCGGATTCAAAGTCTAAGCCTCTTTAAAGTTCGCTTTTTATATTTTGCTTTTTTACTCTTCCCACTTAAAGCCTGGAATTTTAGTGAATCTAGATATGTGTTATATCCATGAGGACTGACATAGTTTCAAGGATATAATTCATGTGGGTAACTACTTTTACTTGTAATAGATACATCACTATCTAGCATAAGTGCTGTCTGTTTGATTCCTTACACTTGGTATAATTCAAGAAAAGTCAATGCTACCGTTTCATTTTATTGTCTTATAAAAAGATTCGGGCAGGACTAAAGTTTCAAAGGAACATAGAATTGATTTTAAATAATATTTAAATTCAACATACTAATAGTGTAATTCCTCTTTATATTACTCATTGCCTTGTTAATAGTAAAGTTATTTGAATAATTCTCATTCTAATGACTTGTATAAGACCATTTAAGTATTTTGTAAGATAATGTGTGTTGATTAGAGTTAGGATGATGCAAAATTATGGTAGAAATTAGCCTTGCTTTTTGTCTAAGTTAATTTACATGATTAGTTGTTATTCTGAAATAGCATGATAGATATTATTTTGCTTTCTCTCTTACTTTTTTCCCAATATTTTTATCTGGCTTGAGATTATCTTTTAAGAAATTAATCTCTTAATGAGTATTTGTAGGAAAATCAAGTTAGAAAATGTCTCTTTAAAAATTATGTAGGAATTTTTATCTCCAGAAATCTGTGTGACATCTTACTGCCCCCCAGCCCACCCATGCTTTTGTCTGTTCCATCCCTCTTAATATTGTTTTGTTATCATTACATAAAAATATAAAAAAGGAAGTTTGAAAATTCTAACTTTGTGGTACATATTACCCAATTTTGTTTTGCTTCTCCATTTTATGTTGACCACTCAGTTTTTTTCATATGCTTTGGTGCTCAGTCTTTAAAACAAATGGAAAGATGTATATACATTGTGCAAGTTTATTTAAATATGAAAGAAAAGGATACAATAACATTCAAATTTGAATTCTCCTAAAGACGAAAACCTGAATAACTAAATCTACAAGACAATTTGCTGTTTTCTGGGGATTTTTTGTAAGTTATTATGAATCCTTGAGTGATTTAATGGTACTCAAATGATATCTGAATTTTGTAGATTTTAAAATTTAATAGTTGGGGAAGTTATTTTGTTTGTACTACAGTCAAACAAGGTTTCTTGCCAAAGGTTATTGTTGGAACCTTAATTTATTAGGTACTAGTCATGCCAAATGGATATCTCAGAGTGATTTGATCTTCTTGAAAATATTCACAGTGGCCAACTGTGAATAATAGAAAGTTTGAAATTCTTCTGTATTCTTCAATTTTTGTAGTTCTGAGACTAAGAAAGCTCTCCAGAGGTCATCTGGCCCATCCATCTACCTCCAGGAAGGACTGTCACTCAGGCATGCCCAACAGGATAGATACTCATCTATTCTTACCATCTCTAGGGAAAGTGGTTTCCTTGGCAACACAATCCAGCTCTTTAGGATTTTCTCACAGTAAGGAAATATCTTGGCCAGTCTTTGTGACCTAGGCACCTGGCAACAGTCGTGGTAATTTGAACCATTATCCTGGGAGACTCCAGAGAAGCTAAATTTTTCCCTACACTTGATGCTTATTACAACTATAAATTTCCTAAGAAATCAAATTTTTAAAGAGATATTTAAGTACTCAAGCACTTCTCAGTTAGTATAACCTGCTTTGGGCAAATGTGGCTATAGATAGTTTATATTCATTGACTTATTTATTTTTGCTGCTGTTAGACCAGGAATTAAAGTTAGTGACTTTCAGATCCCCAATGACAAACGTCAGAATTAGAATCCAATGATGCAACTTCTAAAGTGTTCACCTGTCTGAGAAATGGCAAATACAAAAAAGTAATCATGTGCTATGTTCTTCTTTCTAAGTAAATACCTTCTCGTTAGATCTTTCTTTAGCCTAAAATGACAAATAGGAATCCAAAACTGTTTCCACTCCTTCTGGAGAAGATGTGACTGTGAACAATATGATCTGGAATAAACAATTCCAGAAACTCACTCAATCACATTTGATCCCAGCCTTGTCTCCATGTTCTTTCAACAATGGCTGCTTGCTTTCTCAGGGATCAGGAAATGATTGTTCAGATTATCGTCTTGACAAGGCCTGAAAACAAAGGGAGGAGTCCCAGAGGAAGGTGATCTTGTTTTCTGATTGTATCACTTGACCCAGGAGCTCCCTACTTTAGGAGCCTTTTCTGTTTGCTCAGAGTTGGCTCCAACTCAGAGGCAAAGCTGACCGGATGAGGAATAGCCCCCAAATCAACGTTTCCTTTCTTCCTGGGATTTATTTCAGTCTAGGTACAGCTGCTTATCTCCCCAACTCAGATGCTCTTGTGAAATGACAGCCACACATCAGGGTGGTTGCTTCCCACAGATAACACTTTGGGGAAATGACCCTTTTTGTTTTTTAAAAAATACTGTAGAATGCTCATGTAAAGAACGGTGAATAAAATTTGGCCCATGTTTTAATTGACTCTAGCCACTCCTATGAAAACGAGTCTGAGGTGTAGTTTGTGAAATATGTTTCAAAAGTGTTTGATGTATAATAAATGCTAGATATTTACAGTACAGAAATAGTAAAAACAAAAAAAATTAAACCTGTAGATTACGACTCTGTTCCTAAGAACCTCAGCCTTTATTGTGTCTTAGTAAAGTTAGTTGATCTGCTTTCTTTTTAGTTTATTGCATTTCTGGTGTAATAGCCTCTTAAGATAGAACTATTAATACAAATGTACTGGTTAATGCCTGTTAATGCAGAAAATGGCACTTTGTTCTTTCCATGTGTTTCCCTCAGTGTCACAGGGTATATCAATTTGACAGGAAAGTTCATTTGACATTGATCAAAAATACGTTTCTGCCATACAGTATCTATGTTTTTGCAATGTCTTTATCTTCATCATAATCTTAGACATCAACAGTGTCTCTACTTTCCAGCCGCCATAGGAATTTGGTAGATTCACAAATTCTGGTGAAATCTAGTGAGCTGAATGTATTGATAGATCAAATAATCCAAAGGACTTTGATGTTATTCTTCTGTCTGTGTTGAACATTCAGACATTAGAAATGGTCTTTACACAAGGGAAGTCTTTTGGAGTGTATGTATTTTATTTTACATTGTGTTTGTTTGATGCTGTAACAAGAAAAAATGTAACTTTAAAAACTCAGAAAAACCACTGCACTGTAAAGTATATTTTGGCATAATGATTGGTTTTATCCTTCAATTGATTTTTTATTACTATTAATCAATAGATATTTAATTACTATTATGTTTAATGATGTACAAAGGGAAAAAAAATCAAACTATAGTCCATACATAGTCATTTTATGCTAAGGTGTCATGTTGTGTGTCACACAGTTTCATCATTGATTTCTCTTGTGTATAAATTCTAACATCAAAGATGCCAAAGGGTATATAAAATAAGCTACAATAATATTCAACAGAACTTAACCTGGACTTTAGGTTGTAATAATTTATTCATATTAGCTGTAGTTGTCTATATTTATTATTTTCAGTATTTATTATGAATGACATGGAAATTTGTGTATTTATTGTGGCTTTTTATTGCAGTGTGTGTGTATATATATATTACAAATAAGCATTTTTAAGTCTTATCCTTAAGTTTCTTTTACTAGTGGCACTTGTATTATGCTGTACTTTTATTATATATTGTACAATATCTTGTCCATTTGTTTGCAGCAGAGTAAAACCGGTTTCTAAGTTATATTTACTGTTGAATTTGTGTTGCATTTTGTGTGAAACCTTGTTCTTACATTTTGAACCCCAAACTCTTCTGCTATCACCGCACACAGAAGAATACCTCCCTCCCTCTGTGTAACAGATAACGTTCTTGAAAAGTTCTGTGTGAAGCCAGTTTCTGCTGAATGGCTCATTACATTATCATTTCAAAGATGTGTTAACTTTATTATGATTGATCCCTAAGTGAAGATGCTTACAACACTTTTCTTTCTCAGCTTTTCAACCCATTCATCAAGTAATGATGTATAAACAAACATGAGGGCCAAAGGGGAACGCTCTATGTAAATGAAATTCCAGAGGATATTTTTATAAAGACAAATACATTTTCTGTAAGTGGTATCCTTGAAGTCTACGACTTAGTAGTACGTTTTGCTTTCCTTACAGCACAATCTCTGTGATTTGATGTTTAGAATATATATGTACATATAATTCCTTATGTATGCCTATGTGCTTAAAGATGTTGGTTGAAGATAACAAAAACTTTTATTAGAAGTAGAATGAAGAGGGAAGAGACTGCATTCGTCTTAATCTTCTATTGTATATAGGTCTTTGACCTCAACAACTTGTTTTCTTACATCTAGAGATTGGATCTATATTTTTAAAAGCTAAATAATAATAATAAGTGATTGTATAATCATCCTAAAACTCAAATTTGGTGTGTTACTCACTTAAAGTCCTCTGCAATGTTTCTTTCTCACTGCCAACAAAATAAAATCCAAACTCTGCATTGCCTCACAAAGTCAATTTACACGTAGATACAACCAATTTTTCTAGCCTTTTTGCTCATCAAGCTGTAGCTACCTTCCCTACAAAACAGAATTCTTAAATTTCACCTGCTTCTCAATTTCTCCCACTTCTGGATAGCTTGGTGCTTCTGTTGAGAATACTGCCCTCAAACAAATCCATGCAGCAACATAATAGTGACTACCGACTTAGCTTTCAAGGGGAAACTCAAGTCTTTTCCTTTATGTTTTTTTATTCTTCTGAAAATTTATTAACTCCTCTTTTATACACAATACAGACATTTATTAGAGTCAAGTTTATTTTATTTTATCTTGCTTTTTTGAAAGAGGATCTCGTTGAGGCTGGCCTCAACTCAGAATCTTCCTCCTCACCCTTCCGAGTGCTGAGACTACAGTTGTGAACCCTCGTTGCATTGGACTCATTACTTCCTGAGATTAGAAAAGTAGTCTCAATACTCCCCATGTCCTCAGCATCCAGTTTAGTGCCTAAAACCCAGAAAACATTTAAAATATATTTACTGATGCATGTGAAGTACAAAACTAATAAAAGTATAATTCTGTAGAGGAAGTCAGGTGTGGGAAACATGACTGGCTGAAGGGGTAGAAAAGGTGACAAATTCAGGAGAAGGGAGAATTTCAACTGAGAGAAGCATTCTATAATCCACATTATGGAGTAGTTTGAGAACAGCCAGATTTCTCATTCTTTTCTGTTCAGGGCAGAAAGCTTTGTTAAGAATAGTGACTTACCTCAGGAACAAATGATAGATCAAATGAAGAGACTGTATTCAGTTATCATACAGCTTTAAAGATGAGTCCAGCCGGTATGGTAGTGCGTGCCTGTAATCCCAACACTCAGGAGACTAAGGCAAGAGAATCACTGCAAGTTTGGGCCAGCCAAACAGCAGAGTGAGGCTCTGTCTCCAAAAGAAAGAGAGAAAAAGATGAGTCTGAAGAATACGAGTGGCCTTAGGGTAATAGGAAAACTCTGAAAACAGTGGAAGTGGTAGGAAAGCAAGAGCAATGTTAGGAATGGCTGCAACACAGACGCCTTGGCAGGATGGAAATGCCAGAGTGAAAGTTTTCCCGTAGTTGTAGCGCTCTTTGTGCATTGAAAAAATAATAGCAGAGTAGAGGACCTCCTCTAAGGAAACACTGTGTGGAGAATGAAGAGACAACAGGGCAGGAAAGTATCCCACAGAGAAGCAAGGACAGGGGTCTGTGTAATTACAGCAGAGCGAAGATCAGTTGTTTGAACACCTACTAACATGTTAGAGATTAATGATAGCAAGAAGATTAGGAGCTTGAAATACTATGTAACAGGAGAAGGATATAAAAGTCATCAATAACAGAAACTACGGTGTTGTAAAGAGGAAGAGATGCATTCATTTTGGATAGATTGAATCACTGCTGAGACACTCAGTGTAAATCACAAGTTCCCAGGGAAATGTGAGTCTGGAGCTTGGATAAAAGTATAAAGTATGAAGCAGATGAGGATTTTAAGGGGGTGACGCGCCTAGAGAGATGCCAACATAGCACAAGACTTTTTAGAAGGCTACTGTTTCAAGCTGGGAAGTTTGGCATGCAGGATTTTTCCTGTCAGTACTGTTCAAAACAAATATAATGTGAGCTGCAAATGAAAATTTCATTTTTCATAGCCCCATTAAAAACAATAAAGTTACTTTTAATAATATATTTTATTTAACCTAACATATAACAAATTCTACATGTAATCAATATAAAAATTACTGGTAACATTTTAAGGTCGCAGGAGGTTTCTATTGCTGTGAAGTGGAGTAGACACATGTGGTTAGTGGGTGCTCTGTGGGACCATGTAGGTCTGCACCATTACACATTTTCCATGCTGGGTACTCCCTGGTAGGTGTTGACATGTGATGCAAAGGGTTTTATACTTTGCTCCCATTTCAACTTATCCATCCACAAGGTAGTTCACAGACCTCCTTCCCATCTCATAATCTCTTTTTCAATTCCTTGAGTAGTTAGCCAGACTGTTCTTCTCTACCCACAAGTCCACATATAGTATGTTCTGAAAGAGCCACTTCTTCCATGCAAAAGCTCTGTTTTTAAATTTTTATTTTTTTTAGTAAATGTTTGCAGTACATAATGATTGTATTCACTGTGCAGAGTAGATACATGCACATAACATATCTTAATTGTTTTTCATTCTCCTCCTCTTCCTTCCCTCACCCTCCCATCTCTTGGTCACCATTCCTTTTGCAAAAGATCTATCTTCCTATTTTAAGGTTTTTATCATCCCCTGTCTTTCAGTACTACGTGGAAAGTAGCAGTGGAGGTGCCATCATTTGTTAATTACATTGCACTCAATTACTAAACCATCTATCCTTAAGCCATATTTATATGCCATATAGAGTGAGACATGAACGAGGAAGAGAGGCTAATATGATAGTGGTGGAGGAAAGAATAAAAGGGTACTTGCTCATGTAATTTCTTTGTGCACAGTATTATTTTTTTGTAACAGGAATCAAACTCAGGGCCTTGTGCTTGCCAGGCAAGTGTTTCTACCACTGAGCATCTTTTCCACTACAGGTACATCTAGTACCAGCTTACTTCACAAGATAGTATCTGCCTGATCTCATGGGCTGTGTTGGTTACCTTTCTCTTGTTGCTGAGCCAAAATACTTGACGCCCAAAGTGAAAGAAGGAAAGATTTATTTAGCTTACAGTTTGTAGAGGTGTCAGTCCATACTCAGTTGACTCCAAGGCAGGATGGCATAGCTGAGGAGCAACATTCATGGCAGCCACAAGCAACAAAAGCAAAAAGGCAAAAAGAAAAAGCATACCTCCTTTTCTCCCTTGTATGTAAGCTGCATGCCCTGGGCAGGTGAAGCACTCACATTACCAATCCCAGCACTAGACAATGAACCAATCATAAGCACCAGACTCAGTCACCTCCATGACTGCATGAGGCTTTGAGGGGGGCACCTAAACACAAACCATAACATGGATCAAGCGGCAGTGCTTAATGCACTACAACCAATACTACCTATAAATACAGAACTTTTCTGTTCCTACTCCAAGTTGGCAGTTGTTCGTGGCTCAAAACATTGTTCCTGGATGCATGAGATGCTGCATCCAGAGCCCCTCAAAATTTACCAGACATTGTACTTCTCTGTGCATGCTAAGAGTTTCAGTATGTAATAATTAATCTCTACTCTAAAGGAGATATCCTCTAACCCCACAACCACAGGATCCCTAAAGATTATTCTGGTGTGACAGACCTCTGACTCTTCATAGACTTTATCTTCTGTCTGCTGTAGTGCATGTGTCATATCAAGGCCACCAATATGCCAACAACTTAATATTCATCTAATATGATTAGCATAGTATTATGGAAGAGTGCAATTTTGCCCAATAGCCAGAAAGTTCAGATGTCTTTGTACTATACATTATGACAGAATATAAAGCTATATATATATTGCTAATCCTGCAGGCATCCAAATAATCTCCAATTCTCTTTTTCTAATTGGAATACAAAAGAACACATTTGCCTAACTTAGTGGACTTATCCACATACCTGGTTATCCTGCTATAGCAAAGATACTACATCTAGCATAACAACTACAATTAAGGCTACCACTGGATTGAATTTGTAGTAAGCTACTCCAGTTCTCCAGGGTGCATCTGTGTTCTGCAAGGGTAAGTCACTATGTTAAGGTAACTTATAGTAGATACCATGGAGATGACCATCTTACATCTTTCAGATCTTCAAGATTAACACTATTTCCCACTATGACTCTGTGATAAAAACTCATTTTTTACTTACTGTCTTGATTGGGCCTGGGGTAGTTGTACCTTCAGACACTTCCACCTGGCTTTTCCCACTATATTCTGGAAGTAGAAAGTGCATTTGGAACTATGTGCTTATCCAATATTCCTACCTTGAGTGTGTACCAAGAGACAGGGAAGATAACCACTGTGTAGGTCTCAAAACTCAATGCACTAACAGTAAGCCAGATCTTCACTAAGATTGTTTATTACTGCATTGTCCTCATGTTGATAGGGGAGAGGCAGATTGTAAGTCAACTTCCATCACTGTGACAAAGTACCTGGGACAGTCAACTTAAAAGAGGAAAGATTTATTTTGGCTCACAGTTATAGAAATTTCAATCCATGTTTGGTCAGCTGATTCCACTGCTATGGACCTGAAGTGAGGCAGAACATCATGGCAGAAGGGCACAGTGAGAAAAAAACCAACTGGTCGCTAGGAAACAGAGATATGGGTAAAAAAATCCAGACAGATATGGGCCAGCAACCAGATATACTTCTGAGTTCCTGCATCCATCTTCTAACCATTTCAACTAGACTCTGACTTCTATTTCCATCACATCCTGCTAATGTCATCAAATTAAGGTTTCATCAGTGGTTCGTGGATTAAGGTTAGAGTCCTGAAGATCTAATCACCTCCTAAAAGCCCATCAGTTTGGTTTGGGGGACATTTTCGATCCAATCCATAACAAAGGTAATGGTAAAGTGGCTTCAGTTCCCCCAGTACCAATGTCAATTCAGACTCAGTGTCAGATGTTTATTTAAATACATGTGTCTTTTTCTTTCCTTTGTACATTGTTAACCAAATGAACTGTTGCAGGTCCCTTTTAGGAAAGACTGGGAGAACATCATCATACATTCTTGTGTGGTGTCGGTGGGCCCTTTCCCTTAGGGAACTGGCCACCTTTTTTGGTCAGTGGATCCTAAATCTAAAAACTGACTCATATCTAGAAAGTGGGCAAAAGTTGACAACATCTTATTGGGGTGATTACATTCATGTTCCTAACTATTTAATCTTATTTTTTGTCTTAGTATAAACTGAAAAATTCCTTCCCGCTTGCCTGTCTATTTTTTCCATAAAGGTAGCAGGTTCTATTAAATGTCTTCAACACTCCATGACCCTTTGGATGTCTGTTTCACTACTGATCATTACACTAATTGTATCCACCTAGCTTTTA